TATATGGCTTTTTGTGATTTTTAAGTATAGCTGATGTGAACATTCATGTATAGCTCTTTTTGTGTGAATGTATTGTTGGGTCATATGACAAATGAATATTTAAATTCATAAATACTGTCAAACTTCTACTGTAAGACTACCAATTTTTGTTCCTACCAGCAATGTGGTAGTTCTAGAAGCTTGGAATTATCAGCACTTGATATTGTTAGCATAGTTTAGCCATTCTGATGGGTATGTAATAGTATCTCATTGTGGTTTAAGTTTTCTTTTCTCCAGTGTCTAATGTTGAACCATCTGTTCAGATGTAAAATTGCCTTCAGAATGTCCTCTGAGTGAAGTGTTTCTGTTCAAGTCTATTGCCGGCTTAAAAGTTGAACTGTTTGCTTTGTTTCCTGAATTTTAAGTTTTTTATTCTGGATGCAAGTTACTTGACTTTTCTCCCAGTTGATAGGTTTTCTTTCTTTCCTTCCCTTCCTTTTCCTTTGCTCCTGTTTCCTTTTTCCTTTCCCTTTCCCCTTTCCTTTTCTTTTCAACAGTGTCTATAGAACAAACATTTTTATTTTCTACTGCTTTTATTTTCTTATGCTTTTCAAGTTAGGTTGGCAGTTGGTTAGTGTTCTCACATGATACTTTATCACTATAATGTAAATTTTCCTTTGATTTAATATGGTTCTTTGGAAATAAGATATGACGAGGTATTGTCCTCCTAAAGCAAAGGTGAGTGTTAAGGGTTAATCAGTGGCTTAAAAAATCAGCACTTAGAATTACATAAATACTACTAAAACAGTACAGAAACATTCATGTTAAAGAACTTGTACAGAGAAGGAATAGAAATGGCTACTGTGGCTTTTTTTATACAAGTGGTTTCCTAATCCAGGATGTCATACGAGAATTGCCTAAATGGCCTTAAATGGCTTTTTATTTGCCCACAGAGGTTGTCTTTGCATTTTTTGTGGCCCCAAGTAGACTGTTTTTCAGATCAGTTTTATATTTACATCAAAACTGAAAATAATGTCCAGGGATTGCACACACATACACGTAACACACAATTAATGTCCTTGTACATTGGTTATGGTTGGTGAACCTACAGGGACACATCGTTATCACTCATTGTTCAGAGCTCACTTAACATTTGCTTTGAACTCATTTGTGGGTTTAGACAAATGTGTAGTGCCAGTTGTTCGATATTTCATTAATTTTAAGAATATTTTGAGTAATAGTGCCCTATCGGGTATTTCTTTTGCAAGTATTTTCTGTTAGCCTGTAGCTCATCTTCTTAGTTTGCCTAAAATTTATTTTAAAAGGCTCAAGTGATTCTAATTCTCACAGGATGATCCATCATTTGGTGCTACTTCTTTTTCAAGGCCATGCACAGCCATCAGTTCTTGGCTACGCATTTCATTCTAGTTTTCAGGCATTGTTACTGTTTTCCTATGTTTCCTCTTATCTCACCCTTCAAATTTCAACTCTTCATGTGGATAGCCTTAGTATGTTTTCTTTAATAATAATAATAATAATAAATAATACAAGTAGCATTTAATCTGTAGGCTCATTTGGTTCTAGTACCACTTCTATGGCAGGGTTCCATACCCTTTACCTTGCTGGTCCAAAAAATAACAGTGGTTTTATTAAAGAATGATACTAACAATAACCCCCTCACACACACACACACACACACACACACACACACTTGTTGTGTCACTTTCTTTTTGGTAATATTTTAAAAATAAGGCTGATTTTTTTAAATTAATGCATATTTTGGGTTATATGTTACCATAATATCTTTTACAAAGCACATTTTAATCTATAAAGGTTTAAATTTCATCTTATCTTTATATTCCTTACATTTGAAAAAGTACTCATTTTTCTTTTTTTTTTTTTTTTGGTTTTTCTCCGGTACCGGGAACTGAACTCACGACCTTGCGCTTGCCAGGCAGGCGCTTTTGCCGCTGAGCTAAATCCCCAGCCCCAAAGTACTCATTTTTCTATGGTAATGTTCAAGGAATTTTTTGCTCAGAGTGATCTAGATAACTAAGACATTGCATCAAGTGTATATAAGACTTAATTTGCTTTTACTCACATATTTGTGTATATGCACATTCAGAAATAAAATTCACTCTGAATAGTACTTATTTTGTAATTGTTAGTGAATTGTAAGGATAATCTTGAAGTATGGTGCAAATAATATGATCATTGATGGTGCGTGCTAGTTGGCTTCACTTTTATTTTGCTAAAAGGCATGTGTAAATTACAAATACTACCCCAAATACTTGATATATTCGATTTTAACGTGTGTAATCAGTGATGTTAGAAAATGAGTCTTACTAGTTTTTTATTTAATGGGTCAGTTTTTCATTCATTTTGGAAATGTGCCAGGTGCTTTTGGAATTCATTTCCTGATTAAAAACATGTTTCAGAATCAGAATGATTTTAATACAGTTTACGTTGAGCCTGATTTTATAACAAAATTATACACAGGTTCACGTAGGTCCTTAAGAATAATTAATTGACTAGTCTGATATTTGGAATAATAGTTTTATTTTGTATGTAGTACAGTTTGCTCTAGCCTTGTTATGATTTTAATTTAAGTGCTACACAAAATTTAATGGTTCACTGATAGTCTATGAAGGTTGGAGAAAAATTTTGTAAACAGGCACATTTTCAACTTACTGTCTTTTAGTACTTTGAGATTTACATCATACACTTCCTAGAGTTAATGAGTTGAAACTAGTTATGTATCTATTTGTATAAAAGGTTTTGTTTAACATAATACTGTTAACTAATTAGTATGAATGTTCATCACTTTGGATATAGTCAAATATCTGTGAAGTATTATCTTGAAGTTATAGAAAGCTTAGATTATTCTTTTGAATAAAAGACTACATAAATATATATTTCAACCTAGGAGCCTAGTGGTTTTTTATATTACACATTTACTACTACGTGTATTAGTTGTATTATTCCATCAATAAAATGTAATGACCTTCTTCCTCTAATATATAAGAAAAAATAAATTAGATGGGGCATTCTCAGTTTGAACTTTCTTATAATGAAGTATATTTTCTTGAAATCTTTGATGCTTCTAGCCATTGCTTATACTTTATCCACCTTGGAATTGCATTTCATTCACGTGAATGTATAAATCAGGTGTTTAGGTATGTATGTATGTATGTATCTCCATACACGTGTGAAACAGTTCATGTTTTTCAGAAAGTCTAATGAGTTCAGATTCTCCCTAACCTAGAAAGATTTAACTGTTAGTACAGGTTATCTGTTGTAAAGAATGGAGATAAAATGTCTCTTTAGACTGGAGTTATTGAGAGTTGAGTTTGGCTATGGTTGGATTTGAATAACTGGAGAGGTTGGCAATACTATATAGTACCTGTCCCATGGTATCTCAGGATTAGTTTCACCTCTGTGGATACCAGAATCCTTGGATGCTCTGTTCCCTATGCAAAATGGCACATTTGCATGTACCTTATATCTTCTGTATCCTTTGTGTAAATTACAAATACTACCCCAAATACTTGATATATTCGATTTTAACGTGTGTAATCAGTGATGTTAGAAAATGAGTCTTACTAGTTTTTTATTTAATGGGTCAGTTTTTCATTCATTTTGGAAAATGAAGTATATTTTCTTGAAATATACTTGAAATATACTTCATCTCTAAATTACTTGTAATACCTAAAACAGTGTAAATAGCTGTTACATTATTTGGGGACAGTAGTGACAAGGAACAAAGATCTGTACATGCTCAGTACAGACATACCTTGTTCACCAGATATTTTCAGTTCATAGTTAAATCTATGGATATAGAACTCACAGACACAGAGGTCCAACTAAAATGTTAGGAACTTGGGGAAAACTTAGGGGAACTTAAGAACTGCTTCATTCTAAAGTTAAAACTAAAGTCTGGATTCTGTTTTTAAGGCAGGTAATCTTTCCGTTGGGCTGATGGTAGGAAGTGTTCAGTAAGTAAGTAGCTTCTTCGTTAGAGAAGATAGTAGTCAGCTTGTGGATTGTGGAAAGAAGTTCTTGAAGGTTGAGTAGTCTTTTATTAGAACTGGATTAGTAGAGAACTTCAGACTCAAGTATTTTGTGTGCAAAAGCAGGCGTCCTGGAAGTCCTTGTCGAAGTGAATCATAGTACAGAATTGGGTGAAAGTAATGGTCTTCTATACAACAGGCACATTTTGGGTGTGGGAGGAACACATGGGAAAGAAATGCCACATGGAGGCATTTGCAGTTAGTATAGGGTAAAGAAGAAGGTTTTTTTTTTTTGTTTTTTGTTTTTTGTTTTTTTTTTTAAATACAGTGGTCAGCAAAAGACCTCTGTAGAGATGAAATTTGAGTAGAACAAAGTGAGGAAAGCTCTATGAATTGAGACAAGATACGGCATAGCACAAGTATAGTTCATGTTCCTTGAGTGGTTTTCAGGCGCTAGGCATTGTCCTATGTGCATTACTAGTCTTCAGTCCTATGAGAATCATGCTATTTCACATGTAAGGAAACTGTGGCCCAGAGATCAAATAATTTATCCAAAGTCACACAGCTGATCAGTGAGCTAGGATTGGAGCTTAGGCAGTGTGACTCAATAGCGGTACTCTTTAACTATTATTCGAGGACAGGAGAGGGAAGGTATAGTAGGAAGCTTAGTTGGAGCAGTAGCTTGGGGCCAGTTATAGGACCTTGAAGTTCAGTATCAGAATCTAGGATTTTATTCTGACCATAATGTTAAGTGATTGGAAGGTTGAGAACTGCCCAGATGGTTACTTCATGATTCTAAAAGTCGAGGGAAACTGGGACTATACATACACATGTGATAGCCGTCTGTGTGTATAGGTTACAGTTTAAAATATTTCTGCTGGCCTGTAACATACTTTGATTTAAAATTTAAGGATGCTATTTTACTGAACAGATATGTATGCATGTATGTGTTTGTGTATATATATGTATATGAGTATGCATAAGCAAACTAATGAACTGTTCTGTTAATAGGTGAGAGAAGATGTACTAAATTCATTGAATAACAACTTTCTTCAAACACTAAATCAAGCTTGGAATGATCATCAGACAGCTATGGTGATGATTAGAGACATACTAATGTATATGGTAAGTACTTTCATTTTTTTGTCGTTTCATTTCTTTAAGAAGTTAAACATTTAAAAACAGGCTTTCTGTCAAATTTAGTTGTATGGCACATCTCTGTGAAATTGCTGTTTTTTTATTTGTGTCTTAAGTAGTATTTCCTCTATTAAGGACCAGTCTTCACCTATAGAAGTAAAAATCTTAATTGTGTAAATAGTTACTGAATGATTAGGATGGAAAAATGAAAGAGAATAACTTAAAATTGTTTCTCTTAATATTTAGTCCTTGTTCTTTAAGAGACAAAATGTTTTTTAAAGGTCTTATTACCATCTCGTCTTAAGGGTGATTAAATAACTGCATGAGATGAGAAAGCCAAGCATTTTCTTACAAGTTTCCAATTTCTAAGTGTTCTATCTTCAGTAACAAATGTCTTCTTTATTAATATAAGTATTTTTCTAATGATTATATGCTTAATACCTGGCATGCATCTCTCCTGCTAGTAAATTTTTGCAGTGCATCATTGTACCCGGTCTTTTTCAAGGCTAGTGGCTTCTTCAAGATTTATATTCCATTTTTTTTACCTACTAGTGCTGTTTTCATTTTTATCACTCAGAAAGTTTGCAGTAAGCAAGACAATTTAGAAAACATTGGCTTGAGTTAAGTTCAGTAACTTTCAGGGAGATTACGTTCTTAATTATTAAACAATTTTCATATGATTAAAATGAATCTAAATTCCCTTAGTTTAACAGTTGCATCACTGAAGAATTAAGTCTAATGACTGTTTTTGGGATGAGACACAGGGGTTTTCTTCTGTGACTTTACTCTCTTCAGACTTTTATTTTAGTTTTGCCTTTTAGGTTCAGTGTAGTGTGAGATCTTGTCCTAATTTCTTTTACTTAGTAGACAAAAGCAAAGTTTGGAAAGAATTTCCAATGAGAACAAACAGCTGTAAGGTTTTTTGTTGGGAGTAAATTCAGTCAAGCCTTTCCCCCGTGGTTTTGCAAGGCCTTAGTGGTGGGGGGATGGTCAAGGAGAGGCTACTTAATTTTTCAGGAAGGTAATAAAGGATGTAAGAAATTACTTAGCTTTTCTCACTGTCATTTTCTTTGTCAGGTTATAGATTCACTTTGTGTTCTCGTTTTATGGCTAAAAATATGGTAAAATGTGAAATCATGTATCATAATGTGTAGCATATACTATAATGTGAAATAAGTTAACTTGATAGTATTCTCTTTAAAGTTTTGATTTGGTAATTTTTAAAAATCTATACCAAGTACCTAATGCTAAGGTAGAAAACCACATAGTCCATCTCTATTAATGAAGTATTTTTAAAAATTTTATATATATACCCATTTAAAAAAAATCTTGTTTGTTTCAGTTCTTTTATTTTTGCAGTGAAATCTTAAACCTTGAGTCCTGGCCTTGCTTCTCATGACCATGGTTGAGTAATTAGTTCATATTTCTTTATGGTAAAATGAAAATGATACTGTACCATTGGGTAGGATGATGATGAGGGTTACATGAACCATTCATGTAAAGCACATATAGGAATTGGCCCACAGAAACAAGTTTAGTAATAATTAACTGTTGTTACTATTTCTTGCCCCTTCTTCTGTTTATCAAACCCACCTGGTACATACACCCCAGACTGGGTCACCCAGGTGACTTGCCTTTCCTGAACCTTTGCTGGAGGAAACCTCACACAGGATCGGTCAGTGCCACTGTTCGACCATTGTCACAGACCTTTAGTCAGTGCTTCCACTCCCTGGCATTTTCTTTCATTTATTTCTTCTCAAGTAAGCTTGTTCCACAGTTATTTCTTTTCAGACCTCTATCTCTCACTGATTCCCTCAGTCTTGGTAAATGATCGTACTTTCTACCTCTCAAAGAAAACATCAAGTAGAAACTTCATTTTTCCGCACTAAATCTACAACTTTACCTGTATTTTCTCCCCTTTTGTGATTTTCTTTTTACTCTGTGTTTTAATGAAGGATAATGTATTTTCTTCTGGGAAAGACTAGTTCTCCACCTGTGCTGTTGATTGTGTCTCCTTTTGTATTGTCTGGAACCTTAAGTATTTTGGGATTCTGTCTTTTTTTTATTGGATTGTATTCATCAACTTTGGATGTTCAAGCCATTCATAGCCTAAGAATAAAATTCCATTAAATTTCTGACGGATCCCTGTTACCGCTCAGTGTTTCTTACCTGTCAGTCTCTCATAACAAAATGCTGATACTGCCATCTGTTGGGTACAGTTTTTCATTTGTTTTGAATGTGGTCCCATTAGCTATCTACCTTAACTATTCTGTTAATCCACGGTGATTAGGATCACCGTAGAATCTGTGCATCTCTGAAGAACAGCAGGTCTTCTTGATTTTTTTTTCCTTTCGTCTGCATTTGGCACAGTTGAGTATACTTTCTCCTGACCTGTTTTGGTCATTGGTGGCTGTGACAAAGCAATCTGCACTTCCTACCTTCTGCCTGTGCCTTCTCTGCCCCTGTTCCACTTTTTCACTCCTTAAGTAGAGGGATTCTTTAGACTTAGTCCTCCTAGACTTTGCTCTCGTGGTGCACTTACTTCTTCCATAGCTCTGTGTGTGTCTGCACATGATCCCCAAGTTACGTCTGTAGCCTCTGAGATTTTCATCTGTCGGGTGGACAGCTTCATTGTGTGCAAGGTACTTGGACTTGGCATATCCAAATAAGCTCATAATCACAGCATTCCAGGTGTTCATACTAGAAACCTAAGAATTACTTTTTATCAGTTCCTTTTTCCTCATCTATTGCTAGAATCTGGGAATTTTTTTTTTTCCTGCTTTCTTGTTTGTTAGCAAAGATCTTTCATTCTACCTTCATTTTTTTCTTGGTATTTTCAGTACAAATGGTCTTAAAATATTCACTGGGCTCTTATCTGTTCTGTTTTCCCTATGTCTTTTAGAGTTACTGTCTTAAAGCATAAATTGTTTTACTGCGCTGCTTTGAATCCTTACCTTTTATCTTAGAATCCTCACAGTATCTTTATTTTCAAAATTAAGAGCAAGTAAAGGAAACATTTTAAGTCTTAAATTTGTGAGCTGTCATGTACTCCTCCCTGTCTGTAGTTGCTGTCCTTACACCTACTACTGTTCTTTAGCAGCACTTAAACAATCATAGTAGTGTCCTACCCCTGGCACTACTGTTGCAATTTGGGGACATCACTAGGGAGAATAAGGATACTTGAACGTAAACATTGCAATAACATCGTGTGTCTCTGTTATAGCTACTAATAATGGAGGCAAGGGTAGCTGATGCAGCCTGGAAATGCTGGGCAAAGGCTGATTCACATTAGGCAGATTAGAGTGGGACTGCGAGGTTTTATGTAGCTACCCCGAACAGTATACAGTTTTATTTCTTTTTATTTTTGGTATGTTTGTGATATATAATGAATACATCTATCATGAGGAATTGGTACATGTACATATTTTATTTTAATCCTTTTTTTTCTTCCCTTTTTCCTCTCCTTCCTCTTGTGTCCCCCTAGATCCCGCTAGATCCCCTTCCTATATCCCCAAAGTCTACCTCCCCATTTCCTATCTTTTTTTTTATTTTGCTCTTTAAATCATGTGCACTTTGGGTTACCCATGTAGGAGAAATGCAATATTTAAGCTTGTGTGTCTGTTTATTGTACTTAGCGTTATGATCTCAGAGTGTATCCATTTTCCTACAAATGACTCAAATTTGTCCTTCTTTAAGGCTGAGTAGTACTCCATCATATATGTATACCACATCTTTAAAATGTACAGTTTTAAACTTAAGGATTATAAATTTCTAAAATTCTCCATTCATTGTTGATGGGCATGTAGGCTACTTTCAGGATTTAACTGTTACAACTTTTGCTACTTTAAACATGAGTATGCTTGTGTCTCTGTATTATGGTATCTTTAACTCTTCTGGGATGATACCTAGAAGAGGTATAGCTGGGTCAAATGGAATTTCTATTTCTAGGTTTTTAATGGTCTCCATACTGATTTCCAGAGTGGTTGTAGAGTGTACAGTTTTAAACTTCAGGATCGTTAATTTCTAGAATTCTCCATTTAATATTTTCAGACCACAGTTGACCAAGGTAATTAAAGTCACAGAAAGCAAAACCATGAATAGGGAAGATTATTAACTTTTTTATTAGACTGAACTGAGGACAGGGACAGTGTCTATATAACCACTATCTTTTGTATCTAGAATAGCTCCTTGTGCAAAGTGGGCTCTTCAGTATACCTTGAATAAGTTAAGGTGGGTATTGTATAGTATGTTCCTTCTTATATAATCAGTATATAATCTTTTCAAAATACTATGGTATTCTAGTTTCAGAAAGATAGCATGATAAGGTATCTTCATTCCACAAGTTTTTCCTCATTTTTATATCCAGTCTGTCATTAGCTTTTTTTTTTTTAATGTGTAGTGTTCTGGGCTTAGTTAAAATACCACTGTTCTGGGCTTGGTTGTGCATGCCTATAATCCTACCCACTCGAGAGCCTAAGGTAAGAGGATCTTTTTGAGACCAGCCTGGGCAACTTAGGGAGAGACTGTGTCTCAGAGTAGAAAACTGGAAAAGTCTAGAGATACAGCTCAGTGCAGAGGCCCTGGGTTGGATCACAAGTATTGCAAAGACAGAACAAAACAAAACAAAACCAGAAAACACCTAAAAGTACATTTTAAATTAAGGTAGTTTATATACATTAAAATGAACTAAAGTGTACAAAATGATCTTTGAGTAGTATGTACCTCTGTAACGAGTACTCTAGACCAAGATAAATACTTTTAAACCCCCCCTCCCCTTTTTTTCTGTTGAATTTTGCATTTTCTTCTAAGATTTTTAGCCACATCTGTGATTCAGTGTACTAGTTACACCTGCATGGAACCTGTGCAAGTTTCTTCTGTGGTTTCTGCTTCTGTTGGAATTTTAAGTCGTATGCTCGGAGAGGCAGGAGAGAAGTTTCATTGTCTACCCACTTACCACCTACTCAGTTAGCTTACTTCTTACTCTTCAC